AAAAACGGCGAATTACACACCGTAAAAATGGTAAATAATATCGTTATTATCATAGCGGTATATATACCACCATTTATTCCAGTGCATTACGGCAGCGGTGAATAATAGTGTAATAATATTGTAATACACGCACCTACATAACTGCTGCTGCATGTAGGATATTAGGCATAATATATATTATACAAATGGCTCCATTATCTTATGTAGCTGCAGTGTTGTTTTTATTGTTATTGTTATGGTTGTCGTTGTAAAGTCGGTCGTCAGAGCTTGCAGGGCACACGCTCCAGAAATATTGCAATCACGCTTTCGTCTTGTACGCATTTGTTTTTTCTTTCAATTAATATCATCGTACGCGGTAGGGGACACGAAAATTGTGTCTTCATTGTAGTAATATCTTACTATCGCCCTCTAAACTTTACGTTCGACGATGACTCTAATAATATTGTGTTTTGATATGAAATATAGATAGGCTGGCGTGGGCGTAACTAGTCCTAGAATAACCAAGTTTAAAATAAGCACCGGAGGCAAAGTCCTCCCTCACGCTCTCCACAAGCTAGAGTCCTATGCGTAAGATCAAAGTTAAAAATAATAACAATAATGTAAAATCATCTTCCTCTCGTCATAAAAAATAAAATGTAAGCAATAAATTAAGTATTATATAATTATATATTACATGTTTTATAACTGTATACACATATTACGTCCTATACCTATTTAGATGCAAATGTTCTTAAAATATCAGATAACATGATGCCTCTCATAGTCCTCATACGTAAACTCGTGTACATGGCAAATTCACGGTAATCATCAATTATATGGGYAACTATAATAGTTATTGATCATTATAGAATCCATGACAGTTTTTATTTTCATGCAAGGAATTTGACTGTATACAACCAGGGGAGGGGCTAAATTGTGAATTCGCTTGGGATGGCTAAACATTTCTATAGGGCTAAGCTCCTAGCTATGGCGATTCGATTCGTCATAAACGATGGCTCTAATAAATTATGTTTTGATATCTGCAGATACATATAGGTATATAGCAACGATGGCCAACTGACGGATTGTGGAAGACAGAAAACTGGACCGTCAATATTTGTTGCCTTCGTATCACTTATTTTTTCTCATTAATTAATTATTTTAATCTTCCGGACTCTAGTAGAAACTATACTTGCCCACGAACTATAAATTATACCCAGGTTAGYCGTTAGGCTGTATATTTTTCAGCTGCGACCCTCACGACCGACGTAAACACTAAATGTCGTGTGACCCATTCCTTCGGCCCAGCCAGTATCGCGCGCTACATATTTGTGTGCTTAAGTACGATGAGAAACGATCATAAATGTCTCRTGTCATAAAACGCATGGTATCCCGGTGACATTATATAATAGTTGTCGATGAATAAGAAGCTGAAGATGACTATAATAATAATAATAATAATAACAGGGGGGTTAGGGGTTCTCCCCTCCTCGAAATAGCAGGTACAAAAAATAAATTATCTGACCTACAAATGTATTATACTAATAACATTTCAAAAAATAATTAATTAATCTATAATACGTAATATGTATATGTTTATAGTATAAGCGTATTAGTATAAGTATATTATAAATAAAATATAGTAAGAGTGTAATACAGTATGAATAATATTATGAATACCAATTTTTAATTTTTCAACCACCCCCCCCCTCGAATTTTTTTCCTGCGTTCGCCCCTGAATAATAATAATATCAATGATATGCGCAATTATTATTACTATTATTATAGATTATAGGTAATGCCCGTGACCCGTCGAGCTGTATATAATATAATATTATTTTAAGACTCGCGGCGGCGGACCGCGCAACAACCGTTGTTTTTACCGGTTGCCGCCGCGGCGCGTAGAGGGCAACGGCGGCGACTAAGACTACGACTAAGACCACGACTAAGACGACGACGACGACGACGCGAGGGGGGACCAACGGTAACTCGCCCGCGTGTACCGTTATTACGGTTGTGCGGAGGTTTTCTCATCGGGCGGCGACCAAGCGAGAAGAAAACGGCGGCGGCACGAGGAGGAAGGACGAAGAGTACATAATGTGTATAATATTATGCTCGTCGCACGGCAAGTAAAATCGCGCAGGTGTAATAATATTATATTATTGCGACCAGCGCGCACTGGTCCGGCGTATTTTCGGGTGTGTTCGCGGGCTCGCGATCACGACGGTTATGTCTATATAATTTATAACGTTTTTATGGTTTTTTTTTTTGTTTTTGTCGTTTTCGCTTTAACCGATGCATTTTTAAAACAATTTCCACGGGGGCGCTCGACGACGGTCGATTGCATACGTGTGCGAGCGTTAAAATATTATTTCACGTTATTGTTTTTATTATTATTATATTATTATTATACGCATCATAATCGATTTTTGCCGAAAAACCAGTATTAGGTGGGCATTATATATTTTAGAGGTTATGATACTATTTAATGTTTATAATAACGCAACTGCAGGCGTTTATCATACTATATATTAGTTACGTATATCGTTTTGTGGTTATCTCCGAGTTGTGAAAACCGCCAAAGTTCCGGAATTACCGACGGAGAGCTGCAGACACTACTGCGCTCGTGAAAACCACATACGATACGCTGCAATGACACTCGTGTATATATAATTTATATATTGTGTTTTGTTGTAAATATCGTAATTGATTTATGCTCACCAATTATATAATATGTTATATTATTTTATATTATATTATCAATAAGTTTGATGACCTTGTATGTCACTATGTCAGATACACGACTTTATTATAAAAAAGCGGGTAGGTCGTGAATATAAACATTCTCTGAAATTTTCAGGTATCCGTGGTCATTTGTTTTAAAATTATATCAAAAACCAAAATTGATTTTGCCGAAAATTGATTGTGCGTAAAGTTTCCCGGTTTTCCCTTAATTTTTAGTTTGTTTATCCCGATTATTTTGAAAAATATTGAGAATTTTTTACCTTTGACCCCCCAATAAGCACCAACTAGATTCACTGTCTGATCTAATAAGGTACTGAAGTTGAAAATCGAAGCATTTTTACTGACCCAAAACGTGATGACAGACACAAAAGAAAATAAAAAGCACATATTATCATGATAAAATCAATACATTCCTCGCTCCGCTCAGAAACTAAAAAAATTAAAATATATTGTATTCGTAKTTTCGTACATATAATTATATAAATATATATATATAGTGAAAATAAAACTCGCATAACAGTGTTTTCAATTTTTAATGGAGTTAAGGGAAAATAAATAACTTTTAAATACAGAACSAAAGTTTGCAAGACTACTGCTGCTTGCTGTCTGTTGAGTCGATTTCATACCAATGCCATGTTTAGTGGTAAAAAAAATTGTAATTGCCAAGTACATTAAAATTTAAAATGAAGCATCA